GATGTTGGTGAAATGAACGGTGAGCACGGTCCGATTTATAGTATGAAATGGCACACACCATACACTATGCAACTCCTTCTGTCACTGTGCGTCCTCTAGAAACAATAGGAATATATATACGGGCATTACACTTGAACAATGAGGTGAATGGTCATTGACTGAGGACCAGACCGTCGACAATGGGGATCACATGCAAGAATACAAATGAGGGCACCTGGCAATCAAGTATCAGAGTATGTATTGTGATAGATAGGCACAAAACCTGCAAGGATACAAAGTAAAGACCAGACACACCATGAATCATTTGAGTATCCGCAGAGGTTTATCGCAACCGGCATAGTTCGTTAACAATTAGATACTAGAGATAGTGGTTGGGAACACGTCTTGCAGAGAGGGAATATGACCGGCAGAAAGAGCAGCATTGTCAACCAAGAAGATAGCGGTCAGATTCAAGATGCGGAGGAAGGACACCGTGTGTAACCTCGCGGTGCGTGAGCGTGCGATCAATGGCGACCAGATGTTCCCAAACCTATCCACACCAATAGCATTGTAACCTCACAAGGCATATCTCTGGACCACAACGAGGCACAGTGAAATGAGCTAGAGCAAACAATCAAAACCAGCACGTGTACCAAAATTGAGAAGACTCACTGTGTAAGACATGAAGATGTGATAGAGACCACAATCCAGACATCTGATAGAGCGCTATCAGTAACAGGCTCAACCATGACAATCTATAGAATACGCACTCGCTCACCAATTAGCACCAAACCACCTGGGATATTAAATGTCACAGCATCTTGGAGCAGAAGACAAGAGCCCTATACAAATGCATCAGATCTTGCTCGATACAGTGGTTCCGATACAAGTAAATGTATAGCACCACAGATGGCGCTGGTGAAGGCCTGACGCCCGGATGGCAAACCTGACAGCGAGAAACAGCAACCGGTAGGAGTTAGAGCTAGGAAAACGTGTGAGCAAGGTGAGTACATTACAACAAAGAGTCAGTACTCTCATACTCAGGGCGTATGCAACATTACGAGTCATCCCTGACTTGTTGATTTACCGAAGATTCAGACATCCGTGCCTGAGCGTTTGGCCACTTCAGGCAGTTGTTTCCCACACAACTCTCGTGTCGCGACTTCCGGTCTAATTAGTCCGAGCATGTGATCGGTCTAACTCGGTCCGAAGATCTGATCTTGATTGACCTGATCTGATCTGATCTGACCTGATCTGAGTATAGTAATGGTTGATTTAGATAGATGCTGTGGTAGAGACTGAAGTATTGCTCTGAGCATAGACATTGTATATACCATTCTGACGCAAATTCAAAGGTGTGTTTGATGGTGTAGTCCATTTGAGAATTGGTGTACTGGTTCCCACGGTAT